GTTGGGCGGGGGTACAGAGACAGACTGTGCTAGCGCCGCTTCGAGTATATATCTATATCCTTATGAGGAGTATGCGGGGTGTATGGATTAGCTATATGCTATCATCGCATTGGTTGTTTTGTGGGCGCTCTAGGTGCCGTGCTTGTTCATGTTAGAGCTAAACTTCCATAGTGGGAGTTCTATTTACTCAAGTCAGTGTTTTGCGTGTTTAGCATCCCATACCTCACTGAGTGACTCCCCTGTTACTCACCTCTCATTCTTTCCCCTTTCAGGTGATACTGACGATCGAGTGTGATCTTTCGGATTGGTGCTTTTGGGAGTTTTATTTATTTATTTTCAGACTTATGCTTTTATCGATATTTTCGAGAGTTATTGCGTTATTTGGATTTATGGAGTTTTTGAGATGATTTATGCTATTTAATAAATGGAGATTTCAGACATTTTTACTTATTTTATTATCTGGAAAATGCGGGTGTTACAATTTGGTATCAGAGCGGGTTCCGTCCCGGCTCCGACCCGGGATGGCGATCAGTGAGGACTCATTTTTTTTTATCGGTTTTTATCTATTTTTAATGATTTCTAAAATGATTTTTGGGGACTTGGGAATTTTTAAAATGATAGCACCTCTCCGTTTAGTAACTTCTAATCTAATTGTCTTTTATGTCGATGAGTAAAATCATCGTCATCCGTTCTTCAGCTAACAGGTTTCCGGCCAGAAGTTCCAGTCATTGATGATGTCAGAGTTTTGTCAGATTGCTGAGGCGTTTATCGGTTTCGTCGGTCGTGTTCAGAGATTATCTGCGAGTGGACATGTGACGAATCTGCCATCCACATTCAAGCTATTGCTTCACGAGTTTTGTTTCTGGAGTGTATGTGATATGTGATATGAGTTATTGGCCATTGGTTGGCATGTGTTATGTTGTGTATGAGTATATGGATTATATGGAGGTATGTCTGGTTTGTAAACTCGTGGGGATCGCTTTTGAATTTGGGGTGCGGCACCTCGCATTGTGTTGGTATTAGAGCTTCACTTGGCTTTGGTTGCCAGTTCTTGATTGTGTTGACCGTTTCAGAGATGTGTCAGTTCGGACAACTGGCATATAGACGTTTGGAGCTACTTATATTTATCGAGTTGTACCAATTATGGGCGGAGTGATTAATTTATTTGAAGACTTCTAGGAGTTGAGCTTCTGCGATTTTACTCTTAGGATGCATTGGCTATCATTTCTGGAGCATAGGAGATTTTCATAGCTGTCATTTCTACATGTTGAGGAATTCTTGGATGTGAGATCATATGGATATTTGAGACCATTTTGATGGTGAAGGACGATGGAAAGCATTAATTGCGGAACCTTTCAGTTACAGAGTATGAAGATGTATTTATGATCTTTGGAAGGGTCATCACCAAACATAGGAGACGCTTTGGCGATTGAAATGGAATGAAGGACGCCACCGGTTTCACGAGTTTTGTACTGATTAGCGCCAACAGAGATGGCCGAGCCGAAGAACCAGATGGACGATTTATTTGACAGAAATTTTATTAGACAGAGTACTTCACCATGGGGACCACTAGTGTTGTTGCGACGAAAATTAGAAGGGAGTTTCAGATTTGGTATCAATTGCAGAGATTTGAATAAAGTGATCATCAAGAAAAAAAGCATCCGCTTCTGCGTATTGATGAATGGTTGGACTAGCTGCTGGGAGGTTCATTGTTTTCGAGGATTGCCTTGGCATCAGATTACCACAAGATTATTGTAGCTGAGGGAGTTGTGCGGAAGACGGCTTTCCGCTCAGGTTATAGGTATTATGGGATTGTAGTGAAACCAATTGGGTTGTCAAGTGCACCGTAGCATACGTGAAGCTAATGAATGACCTCTTTCATGAGCACTTGGATAAGTGTACGATTGTATCTTTGGACGGCACCTCGATGTATTCTTGGAGTAGAGGAGTATGACGAGCATTTGCACATTGTGTATTGTTGCACGAGGATCAGGTTATTGCATATAGATGGCGCTAGTTGAGACATACCGAGTTCCACTACCCTGCTGATGGCTCAGAGTATCTGCAGTGGTATTTGAGATAAGATTTTGGAGATTATAATTGTTCAGAGAGGAAGTTCAGATATTCTTGGATCATCAGAGTGAATTTTATCTTCATTCATTAAAAACTTGTATTTGAGGCAGTGCAGTTGGATTGAGTTGGAAGGAAACAACAGTTCAAATATTACATGTCATTTGGTAAGGTCAACCAGATGACAAATGCTTTGTATAGGAGCGATGTTTAGAGAACCAAGGAGGTTCATGAAATTTCTGGAACACTTGTTAGTCTCAAAAATTTGTGCGATTATTGTAGAGGGATAAACATCAAGTCTTGAGGCTTTGGAGTAGGTAGATTTTCTATGGAGGATACGCAAAACACAGGAAAACAATACGACTTTGGTTATGCAGATTGAGCCTCAGAATATTGGAAATCAGACAGTTTCAATAAGGAGGTAGTTGTATCAAAATCGAGTTTGTGTATCGGACGATAATTTGTTAAGAAAATGGATCTTACAGCAAACACATCACCCGCGTTCTTTATCCATCCGGGAAACACCAAGGGATACAAAGATACAAAGTGGTAACTACCATTGGTCCAGAATGAGAAAGATTGTAGCTACATTGCATCACAGTATAGACATGTCAGATGGTTTTGTCCAGGATCAGATATCTTTCAGGTTATGGTTGAGCTTGTTTAAGGAAGAGTGGAAAT